CCTTTGTGCCAAAATAACCCTCCGTATATGAGTCACAATACATATTTTTTGACCTATCAACCTGCAGCTCAATTTTTTTACACATTGGTTCATCATCCGGCGAAAATGGGAATAAGCAAAGTCTTCTAAGTTGATGATGTCTTTGCCTTCGCTTATAATTTTATACTAGATGTTTCTACGCGTATTTTAAGACTACCTAATTATTGTACTAAGCTCTGGCTTTGAATTGTTCTTCTGGCTACACATTCTACTCATTATCACTTTGACTATCCCTTTCGGGCATTAGCTCTCCGTACCCTTTTTAAGTAATATTTTGAGATTTTCATTAGATCTTGAATACGAGTTATAATCACCATTTGTCGTTTAAGGTAATGGACTGATAGTGAATTTTCCCACATTGAGACAAATGAGATTTTCAATACAAATGCGTTTTTCTTGCTTGCAGAAGCTATTCTCATCTAGTATGGACTACTGTTTTACCTATCCTAAGCTTCACCAACCCTTCCATCGGGAATCTTACCCGTTAAGTGCTACGTATAATTTCGACCTTTCACCACTACACTATACTGACCTATGACTGACTGGCGTAGTGTTACCATGTCGAAATTATAAACTGATCAACCTGGGTTATATTCCAACTGGAGTTGCTGGCAAAACGGCAATCGACACTGAAATAAAATACTTGCTGGAAACAAGGTTAGGAGGTGGACTTCAATTTGATCATAGGGCTTACTAATTGGGGGAAGAATCTGTATCAATTCTTCATAACCAAAAGCGACCTAAGATCTATTAGGCTCTTATTTTTCTTACGCAATTTTCAATGGGCTATTCTCTTAGCATAGACCGAGTCCACCAAATTTAAGGTGCTAGCCTTTTTAAACGCTTTATAGCTTGTTAACTTAAAAACCTTGCATTTTCCTCCAACGTAAGCCTTTGCAATTGTACTTTGTTTTGCTTTATTACATTAAATTATAATTTGAGTTTAATTGAAGGTTTATACACCAAGATGGTATAGCCTCTATTATGGTCGCTATCTCTTCACTGTATATAATTAGTTTGATTTCGTTTTCGATACTTGGTTCTATTGTCAGAGACCTAAGTGAACACATCTTGTCCGGGCTCCTCTGCCATAGTGGCTATTATAATTTCAAGCGTCGAACTATGGACTTCGTACATTTTAAGCAAGCAGTTACAATCTTTATGTGTTGGCACAAACAAGAAAGTCAAACTAGGCACTTTGGGTACTAGCGCGAAGCCAATTTGACCAGTACTCCATTTTAGGGATCTGGCACAGACCAAAGGCGGTTGATTCACAGTAGAAGGATTTGATCATAGATATGATTCTTAAACCTTGACCACATGACTTGCTCGTCTACCAGGCCAACCTGAGATGAGGAAATATTTTTCATCCAGCTTAAAAATCTTGGTGCCTGGGGTCCTCTCGTTGAGACTAGAATCAGCAAGTAAACAGCTACAGCTTTGGCTGTTGGAATACAAATGATTATTTTATACTAAAGGCATATAGTTGGCAGTATGGACAGAAGCACGAGGCCAATTAAACCAGAACTACACTCGAGTGAGGCGGCGGAGACAAGAGTCAGCTGGCTCAAAGTACATGGGTTTTTCTGTGATGTAAAGTTTTGATCCCGAGATTTATCCGGTGCATACGCCAAATTGTGATAAGAAAAACCCAGCGTTACATTCTTTTTTTATTCAGCGAGTTGTGACTTTGAAGCGGGCGATCCGAGGATTTTGTTGTTGATCCCGTTCTCTCGGGCAATACAACAAAGTTGCTTTAAATGAGATCAAACAACTTATTTAACTTCAGTTATTTGAAATTATTCTAACTCAGGTTGCATTAGTGTTCATCTGGGAATATTAATTGTAATTGGTTCAAAAGTCTATTTGATATCATTACTTTTATTTTTCTGTATTAGGTGAATGAAAATCAGCGGGCGCGAGCACTCTCGCTTGGCCTCCCTGCACACTTTTACGCTTTCGAAAATCGGTATACTTCTCGAACTACTTGTGATGACAGCTTATCGACTGCAGCTATCCAGGAAGCCGAGGAGGATGCACTTTTGGAAGCCGCTGTTCTTGCAGGTGTTCCAGAAAAGCACAGACAAGCTAAATCTTCGCCTAAATCAATGGCTAGTCCGATGGCTTCAGAAGCTACAAAAACATCAAGAAAACCAGTAATTATTTCACTTTAACCCTTGCCCTATATAAGTTATTGTTTATTCTCGTTTGCATCATGTTATTAGCTAAATTTAAACAT